TCTGAGAATGCGACACCCCGCTGAGAACGCCATTGTTGACTGCGCCCCCATTCCTGGGCGCTTCTAGGAGAGGCATTGTGTCCGGGGTGGGTAGCGCTTTGCAAGGAGGAAATCCAACCCCCAGCGCACGGTGTTGGCGTGCGTTTTTATTTATCAAGTACTATGTACATGACAAGACCCTACGGGTGCCAAGACCCAGGATCGGGCCTCTCATCTCCGGGGGACATGAGATCGTGGCGAGGTGTTTGACTATCGAATCACCTCATGATTGATAGTCATCAAGCGGTTTTCGCAGCAGATGCTGCGACATACCCAATAGTAATCTCCATAATCGGATGATGGACGGGTTATCGGCAATCGTGACCGGGATTGATAAGGACGATAACATCTGACGGTGACATTGGGTCCGGGCTTCCTCCGCGGAGATGGCCAGTCCCTTTTAAGGGGAATCCGCTGATACTGCAAAAGGTTAGTCGGGATCGACGGAAGGCCTCCTTATCGATCGTTCCCGGCTTATCGGACGCATGTCAATGGTGGTCGGACGAAAAGCTTAACGGGCGCAAAATTCAATTAATTGCATCTGTTATTATTCTGACTACAAGGTTGCATAACCGCATATCAATAAAACCCGCATCCTACAGATAGGCCTACCTACTACTAGTACTAAGTAACACTAGTAAGTATTACATCATGAGCGCTTCTAGGCATGGTGTGTACCACCCTTGTCCTCCTAAGAATAGATCAAAGGGAAAGCTCATCTCATTCGACGCATTATACGGACGATTGAGCACTAGCAGTGGTGTTGAGTTGGTATGTGAACGCCAGGCTGATAAATCGCGCCCCCTTGTTGCCTCAGGTTTCACCACGGCCATAAATATTGTACGTAAGACAAATCCCACCTTGGATGCCGATATATCCGGAGCTCTTTAAGCAGCATAGCAATGGCGTTTTGAATCATTCAGTTGGGTTGTTCTTGAGCGGCGGGATTCTTGATCTTCTCACGTGATAAGTCTGGGTTCAACAGTAACCGGCCCTTAGGGGGTCACTAAAAGTACTAGTAGACGAAAGACTTCAACCTGCAAATTCGACAAATACCCAGGTCGAGTGATATTTACCTGGATTTAAAGAATCCCAGACGGCCAATGAAAACGGAGCATTATCTCTCTAACCGACCTACTAATGAGAACTACTTTGAAAAGTAGCTCCGCTCTGGCCCATTCTCCACGCGAACCAGGCTCATCCGGACGATAAGCAACAACACTTCTAATTGGGAGTTGCACATGGCTTCACGGCAGTGACTCCATGACTCCATGGCTCTTCCAAGAACCAATGAGTATGATGAAAAATAAATCCTGCAAGATTGAGCGAGCAAATGGCTGGACCCATGAGACTGTTGAGTGGGTCAACGCGATTTATTTGCCTCAACGCTTGGTTATGCGGTGGGACGCCCTGCTTGCCCTAATTTCGAGCGTCCCACTTCCAGAATGGGACAGGTTTTGGGACTCCGCGGAACTTGCTGGTGACTAGGGGCTTTGCTTATTCTGATCTTTCTCCGAGGCGTTATGTGGTATCAAGGAGTTGCTGCCGTGACCTAATATGAATATCCACTATCCGCGCGTAGGTAACACATCCTGTTGCCATCATACGATAGGCAAGAGTCTTTTACTGCAGTGGATTCCCCTCTCAGTTGGAGTCAATGCACCGGCAGGTTATTTGACTTATTCAATCTCAGCATCCTTGTTCATGCTCCATCCCTCGTAGTCTTACTTTCATTGGCCCTCCCCTGCCAGTATCATGGCCACCATCACGGAGGTTCGGACGGATGCACTCGTCCCAACTGACCTCGTCCTTAAGACAGGTCAGATCAAGATCGAAGGCGAAGAGATCTTGACAAAAGACCTGTCCGATATCCCTCTGCCACCACCTTCAAAACGGCCGACAGAGGTGCTGAGCGTAGATAAAGGAACCCCAGATAACCATGTTCCTCGTGATCCTCGCCTCATCAGATTAACGGGTGTTCATCCGTTTAACGTTGAGCCACCTCTCACAGATCTGTATAAAGAAGGTATGAGTTATAACTGCTTCACCTCCTATCCTCACCAGGTTGCCTTCACTGGTTGTCACGCTAGTCCCTTGAGCTGTTGGATTCTCACACGCTGAAAGGTTTCTTAACATCGCCTGAGCTCTTCTATGTCCGGAATCATGGCCCCGTCCCATATGTCAAGGACGAAGACATACCTCATTGGGAAATTAGTATCGAAGGGTTAGTAGATTACTAAACTCTCTGCGCAATACCCGCTGACCATAGTATAGACTGGTAGAGAAACCTTTGGTTTTAAACTTCCGACAAGTGCTGCAGCAGTACGATCAAATAACAGCACCAATTACCCTCGTATGTGCAGGCAATCGACGCAAAGAACAAAATATTGTACGCAAAACGAAAGGTTTCTCCTGGGGATCGGCGGGGCTATCGACTGCCCTCTTTACTGGCCCATTGCTGTCGGATATCCTCCGCAGTGCGAAACCCCTGCGTAAAGCGAAGTACGTCTGTATGGAAGGAGCGGATAAGCTGGTATGTTGCATCTCTATTGTATGATGACAATTGCTAAGCTCGCTACAGCCCAATGGTCACTACGGCACATCTATCAAGTTGAACTGGGCTATGGACCCCAACAGGGGGATCATGCTTGCCCATAAAATGAACGGGGAGTCTCTCCGCCCAGACCATGGTCGTCCACTGAGAGCCGTCGTGCCCGGTCAAATAGGAGGCCGAAGTGTCAAGTGGCTGAAGAGGTTGATCTTGACCGATGCACCAAGTGACAACTGGTACCATATCAATGACAATCGGGTCTTACCGTACGTCCAAGGTGTCTTATATTCTCCCTACCCATCATGTGTCTAACTATCTACTTAGAACAATGGTCTCACCTGAGATGGCATCGAATAACCGAAATTGGTGGCACGATGAGCGGTATGCGATTTATGACCTAAACACTAACTCCGCCGTTGCATATCCTCAGAACAACGAGGTCTTGAATCTCCAGTCGGCAGGGCCGTCATATACTGTCAGGGGATATGCGTACGCCGGTGGGGGTCGCAGGGTTACCAGGGTGGAAATATCCCTAGACAAAGGCAAATGTACGCAGCCTCGTGCGCCCAATGAACGAGAATTCTTATCGAAGCTAACGGAATTTTAGCTTGGAGATTAGCGGATATCGACTATGCAGAAGACAAGTATCGTGATTTTGAAGGCGAGCTTTTCGGCGGCAAAGTAGATATGTACTGGCGCGAGACTTGCTTCTGCTGGTGCTTTTGGTCTCTAAGCATCGCCATCTCAGAGCTTGAGAGCAGTGATGCCATCCTGGTAAGAGCCATGGACGAAGCATTGGGCGTGCAGCCTCGCGATATGTACTGGTCGGTTCTCGGGATGATGAACAACCCTTGGTTCCGAGTCACAATTACGAAGGAAAACGGGAACTTGAAGTTTGATCATCCTACCCACCCTAGTATGCCTACAGGGTGGATGGAACGCGTCAAGAAGGCTGGGGGTGACCTGACGAATGGTAACTGGGGAGAAAGACACGAAGGAGAGGAGCCGACGGAGCCGGAGCCCGTACAAGAAATTAATATGAAGAAAGACGGGCTAGACCGAACGATCGGTTTTGAAGAATTCAAGGAGAATTCCAGCGATGAGAAGCCATGGTTCGTCGTGAATGGAGAAGTGTATGACGGTCAAGCATTCCTTGAAGGCCACCCTGGTGGAGCGCAGAGTATTATCTCCTCTGCTGGTCTGGATGTCTCTGAGGACTTCCTTGCTATTCGTGAGTTCCAAGCATATCGCACTGCATATGTACCATTCCCTGACACTCATTCACAGATAGCGAGACGGCAAAGGCAATGATGCCTGAGTACCATATTGGAACGATGGATCCGGAAGGCTTGAAAGCGCTCAAAGCTGATACAACATCATCGTCTGATGAAGTTCGCCCTGTATTCCTCCAATCACGGTCTTGGACAAAGGCAACGCTGAAACAAAGGAAAGATATATCATGGGATACACGGATATTCAGTTTCCAATTGGAACACGAAAATCAGACATTGGGTTTACCCGTCGGTCAGCATCTTATGATCAAAGTCCCCGACACATCGTCCAGCAACGAAGCCATCATCCGCTCATACACCCCGATCTCTGAAACTAGCCAAAAAGGGACAGTGGACTTGCTGGTCAAAGTATACTTTGCGACAGCCACCTCGGCAGGCGGCAAGATGACAATGGCCCTGGAAAGACTGCCATTGGGCTCCGTGATCGAGTGCAAGGGTCCGACAGGCAGATTCGAATATCTTGGAAATGGACGAGTTCTCATCAGCGGTAAGGAACGCCATGTTCGGTCGTTTAAGATGATTTGTGGAGGAACCGGTATCACACCAATCTTCCAGGTCTTACGTGCTGTGGTTCAAGACCAACAAGACCCCACCTCTTGTGTCGTTCTCAATGGAAACAGACAGGAGGAAGACATCCTTTGCCGGGCTGAACTCGACGGCTTTATGGAATCCGACAGCAGAAGGTGTAAAATAATCCACACCCTATCCAAAGCGCCTGACGCGTGGACTGGCCGTCGAGGACGCATATCCGAAGAGCTCCTAAAGGAATATGCGGCTCCAGAAGATGAAAGTATGGTACTGATTTGTGGTCCGCCAGCCATGGAAGAATCCGCTCGGAGGATACTATTTGCGGAAGGATGGAAAGAGTCGGACCTTCACGTTTTCTGATTTTGTATTATGCAAGGAATGACTTGATGAGTATGGAAGGCATGGGTCATAACGGCGTTGAGGATATATACAGGGTTATGTTTGGGAATAGCACACGAATAGCCACATTAATAGGTATCAATGTCCTTAAGAGATTAGCACGGTAGAGAAAGGAAAATACAACGAGACGCAAATATTGTTTAGCATAATACTTCAGTAAGACCTGGTGCGATAGAACTTGTATTCGATTCTCAGTAATATTTTCTCATATCCAAGCGCGCCAGGAGGTGGTCAAATACGCTTGTAGGCGCCTCTCTGGATGCAAAAGTGGTGCTGGACCTGCCAAAAGACTTCGATGATGCTTTCACGCCATCTAAACTGCGCAGATAACTCACGAAAAGGGATGTTTGCTTCCGGAATGTGGCATACAACTGATAGGCAATAGCTTCACTTTCGTGGCGCACGCCGCTTGTTCCATCCATCCTCGACAGTGGAGCAAATGTTAAAATCGTACCGAAAATACTTTCCAGCAACTTCGCTGCATCAGCATGTCTTTTGCTGAGGAAAAGCGCAAAAAGCATTTGGTCGAGAATATCTTCATGATAGTCTCTAAGTCTAGGAACAGAATCAGCTGCTTCTATCGTGCCATCAATATCACCGCGGTCAAGGCAACGTTCAATCTTTGCCAAGCTATCTTGGAACCGCTGCCAAGTCGAACCAATGCCGACATGAAAGCAATAATCACTCAATGCAAGAACGAAATGTTGGCAGTCAATGCGGAATTTCTGGTACACGTTTCTAGGATCCCCAGATAGGGATTCTCTCTCCGTAGAATCACGAATGAGACCTTTGACGACCGAAACCATTCGGAGGAGTCGAAGCAGATGCTTGAAAAGACGGTCGTATTTGCTAAGCGATTGCGACGTAATGATAGCTTCCAGGACATCTGATGGTTTATATTGGAGGCGTAGGAAATCCAAAGCCTCGATTGCATTGGGGTCCTTGCATTTGGTAATCTCTTCATCAGTCAACTCTCGAATTGAAAAACTGAGGCCGCCAGGAAGTTCTCTCTCCTTGCGGGACTCATTACCCGTTGAGCTGTCTGGGCGATCATCAAAGCCGTGGCACTCATTAAGGAGCCCAATGAGCACTAATCGCAACTCTGAGCTTGCAGGAGGCCAAGTGTCACGGCTCCCTAACCGCAAACCAGTGTGGACACTGCTACGAACAACACCAGCTTTTCGCTCGCCGCTTTGCATCTCCGGGTCAAAGAGAGCATGCGACAGGCGAGACGTGAAAAAGCCATCCCCAAGAAGCTGGAACCGCCATTGCAGAGCTAGATGATACCGGACCTTGTGCTCCTTGAACAGCAAGTGAAGACAAGAATAGTCAATCAACAACGCCTGGGACGAAAGAAGTGGTGCAAGAGAGAGATAGAGGGCGGAAGCTAACTCTGGGCCGAAACTACACCTATGATCCTCGGGCACCCCAAGACCCTTGCCGTTCCCTTGGTCAATCAATCGGGAGAGCTCGTCTTTCTCCATAAAGGATTGGTCTGCGAGCAATCCAGTCGTGTTTTGCGCGTCATCGATGTCAAATAGGTCGAAAGTATCTTTGAGTGTATCACTAGCCTCACTATGGGCAAAAGGGTGGGAATCGATTTGCAGGTTTCTCTTGGCAGAGGGATCACCACGGTTATACTTGAGAATTTCGGACCGTAGTTTGTTCTCGTAGGTCTTTGCTTTGTGCTGTATCCTTTCAATGTCTGCCCATGTGCTAGCACAGCTGAGCCTGGGGACGTCGCCGTTGCAAACTCCGTAACTCGCAATTGGATGTTGTGGATGGAATCGTTTAAGCAGGCGCAGGCTTCGCCCACTTTCGAAAATTAACTCTGCTTGGCCTGCAGGAATGAACGATGGCATCTGAGTGGGATTATATCTGTAGTCAAGCCTTGTTATTTGAGATATCGTCTTCGGGTTTTCTTCTGAGCGCTCCAAAGCCACAAAGCTTCTGCCATTTGCCGCCAGCTCTTTCAATGTTGACGCCTCCAAGCGGAGGCCAATCCAAGTCTCCACATGTGCAAGAAACGGATACACTGTCCGGATAACAATCTCACGGAAGAGATCCTCCATATGGCCGAAACTTTGTGAAAAATGAGCGGCCTTTTCAAGCACGATGGAGAATATCTGAGCATCCGAGACAACACCTTCAACAGCTTCGATCAGGTCTGCCAAAACACCAACTAATTCAGCGCATCGTTGAAACATGGATCTAATTTGGATGAGGGACACTATATTGTCAGCATACACGAGAAGCCTCTTTTCAACGATGTAAATGACGACGGCTACGGCGCTCGAAAGTGTAGAAAGAGCCGAGAGTTTAGTTGACTTGGGTGGAGCTTTGCCAACGAAGTTTCGCACCCGCTGCATATCTGTACCGCATCGTATCATCTCATCAGTCAAGCCATTAAGTGCAACGACACTAACACCCGAGAGGCGAATGCCATCAAATACACGCTCGAACACTTGGCGTTCCCTATCGTACCGGAAAAACAATGAGCTCCAACCAAGACCAAGTCGGAACAGGGACCGGAAAAAGACATCATTTCGAGCCACACGGCCTGGTTTCCCGAGCCCGTTCACTGCAGCCTGGTTTGCCAACGCTGCATCGAATCCTCTAGACCCCGATTCACTAAAATATGCGGATGCGGGTTCATGATACAATCGGTTTTGACAACTCTCCCACGTCTTCAATAATCCTTTGCTGTCAATTTTGACATCCAAACTATCCAATGCCCAGATATCCTCTGATCCATCGCCTGTTTCGGAGCGTGCAATGCTCGGTTCGGCATGAGTTTCGCTTGATGCATCGGTTGTTGATTCCGGTAGCAAGTCTGGATCGAATACATCGGTTTGGAAAAGATTCAACTGGCGTGAACTAAAACAATCTTCATTAAGCGATTCTAGAGGGCTCCTGAAGAAGCCCCCGGTCAGATCTGGTAAAAGCGAAAAGTCAGTATTCGAGAATGGACGGATAAGCATCCAGGCAATGAATGATACACACCTGGCAACTCTTCGTTCCATGGCAGTGGTTCTAGTGGTTGCAGCGATTGCAGAGTGAACTTCGATAGCCTCCACAGATCCTCACTCGAGAATGGGTCCGTATCACAATCTTCCTGCTCCATCTTATGACACGGACTGCTCCAAAGGTTGACGCCATAGAAGCAAACCCTTATCAGCTGACGACGCGTTGGCGGCGCGAAATCACACCTCACTAGCCTTAAAATGTGCTAGCGCCCCCCCCGGGGTCACGCTTGGACCACCGCTTGTTTGGGAAACCGAAGCTGAATGAAATTGTCGCGACACGGTCTACACCAGCTCCCCACGTGTGTCGCGCGCCAGTACAGAGGCTCCTGAACGCCATTGGATATTACAGAATAGGAGAGTGTTGTGCACACCAGTCAATATGCCTCCAAGGAAGAAGCCTAAGCTTACCGCTCAATCCGAAGCCGCGCAACCTTCCGCAAACACCCCCGCCAGTGATAGCGCAGCTCTGCCTAGCACGGATTACGACCCCGTGACGGACCCATGGACAGATGAACAGGAGACTGCGCTACTAAAGGGAATAATCAAATGGAAGCCGGTTGGTTCGTAGCTATTCCCCGTGTCGCTTCAACAAGCCGACCTCTGCTAATCAATCTGTCCTGTCAAAGGAATGCACAAGCACTTCCGCATGATCGCTATTTCCGAGTTCATGAAAAGTCAAGGCTATGCACCTGCCCACGCGGAACATACACGGATACCTGGGATCTGGAAAAAACTCGGGACATTATATAACCTCCCAGCACTCGATGAGCGGGTAGGTAACGACAGCTGCCTGTATTATTCATGGATTGTTAACATTTGCACTTTGCCATGTAGGAGGATTCCTTAATAACAGATACTTCCGACGATATCGATGGATCCAAAGAGCTTTATTGTCCATTTGAGCTTCCGGAAGATGAATACGGCGAGTTAATGTTTGAGAGGAGATTAGCAATGGAAGGTTCCGCTTCGCCAGTCCATAGTACCCACGCCGAATCTAGGCGAGGTAGCACGGTAGCCGACACAGATGGTGAGTCCTACTGGTCATTTGTTTCTTTCGAGTTCTGTCTAGATTCTGACTACTGGCCGCATTTAGAACCCCAATCCTCTCCGGCGCCGTCAAGAGGTAGGAAGTCAGGTCGTGGAAGCCGTCAATCGGCACGAGGTGCTCGATCTTCGCGGCTACAAGTAGAAATCGAGGCTCCGAGGAGGAGCTCAGGCACAGGGGAAGAAGAAGGTGACTCGGAGGATGCTGGTGCGAATGAAGAAGGGGACGAGGAAGGCTCGGACGGGCCGAAAGACGACAGCGAAGGTGACGAGGAAGCCGAAGAAGATACAGGAGGCTCACCGACCGCACGAAGTACACGAGCCCAGACAACTCGAACAAAACAAAAGGAGAAGAGAAGTAGTGGAACAGGAACTAGACGCGGCGGTCGACGACGGTAGTTTTAATGTGTACTTTTATTTCATGATGGTTTAAAACTTTGATACCTTTGGAGGACTCAGGGCAGGCGTTTCTTTCACATTCACATATAGCAGATTTATCATCACGTTTAGTCTACTTCAACTTTTCACTGAAACTGGTTTGCCTTGGCGATCAGTCAACAGAACGCGATGCTCTCAATGAACATGTTAAGTCACCGAGCAATTGCGCGAATTGATGGGGTAACAATACGACGAAAAGTGATGAGGCATATTCCAAGGGAAATGGCATCTGAATAAATACATTGTACGTATAAATAGGTCACTACATTTGTTCTAGTCATTCAAAGGCTAAAAAGAGACAATCAAGGGAAATAGTACATGGTGCGAACCGAATCCCTTACAGACGCTTCATGATGGCCTCAGCGTACTCGTGGGTCTTGGCCTTGCCGCCCAAGTCACCGGTGAGAGTCTATGTAACGTCAGTAATCGTGGCATACTAGCGAACAGGGGGCAGTGTCCAAATCAGCTTACCTTTCCTTCGGCAAGGGTATCGAAAGTGGCCTTCTGGATACGAGCAGCATGCTCGCCAAGGCCCATGTGCTGAAGCATCATGATACTGCTCAGAAGCAGAGCAGTGGGGTTGGCAAGACCCTTGCCGGCAATGTCGGGGGCAGAGCCGTGAACAGCCTCGAAAATGGAGCACTCGTTACCAATGTTACCGGAGGGAGTGAGACCGAGACCACCGATCAGACCGGCGCACATGTCAGACAGAATGTCACCGTACAGGTTAGGCATGACAAGAACCTTATCGTTGTAAGGAGTGGGGTCGGTGACGATCTTGAGGCAAGAGTTGTCCAGCAGCTCTGCGTCGAATTCAATATCAGGGAACTCCTTGGCGATATCACGGGCGAGGTTCAAGAAGAGACCATCAGACATCTTCATGATGGTAGCCTTGTGCACGACGCGGACCTTCTTCTTGTTGATGGAACGAGCATACTGGAAGGCAAAGCGCAGGACGCGCTCAGAGGCCTCCTTTGTGATGAGCTTGATGCTCTGCACAACGCCATCGACGACGACGTGCTCAATGCCAGAGTATTCACCCTCGGTGTTCTCACGGATCAGGACGGTATCGACGTTGTCGTAGGGAGTCTCGTAGCCAGCAACGGAACGGCAAGGACGCACGTTGGCGAAAAGGTTGAAGGTACGGCGGAGAGTAAGGTTCAGAGAAACGTGTCCCTTTCCAACGGGGGTCTAAAAAAATTTTTCATGCTCAGCAAAAAGATCTCCACGACACATGAAAGCGTTGACATACAGCAAGGGGCCCCTTAAGGGCGACGTAATTCCTCTTCACGCTCTCAATGGCTTCGTCGGGAATAGCGGTCTTTCCATCCTTCAAGATAGGAGTAACATCAACTGGCTCCCACTTGACGGGGGCCTGCAAATAAAGTTAGTGGCACGTCTTCAAAACTACAGGCGGCCTGGAGGGAAGAAACATTACGTTTGCGGCAGCGAAGATGTCCTTGACGGACTGCGAGATCTCAGGACCAATGCCATCACCCTCAATTAGAGTGACCATGTACTTTCCCTATAAAGACAATATTTCCATCAGAAAGCGTGTTTGGATGTGTTGAATTTGGTTTTGAATTGTGTATAGATCGATCGTCCAAAAGATCTCTGGCGGGAGACGCCGGACTAAGGGAAGAAAAGATCCGAGAGAAAAAAAAAATTCGGAGTCTTCGGGCGCAACATACATCGGTGTCCTTCTGGCCCTTGAACTTAGCGACACGCTCGTCGGCAGCAGCGGCATAACCACGGAGCTAGGTAAACTAGGTTAGCTACGCAAGAATTGACGGTTGAGCCGGAGGTGGAAATGGGCTTGGTATACCTGCGAAAAGGGCGAGGCAATGCTTGGGGAGACACGAGTGCTCCGCAAGCACTGGCGGGCGGGGAGAGCGAAGTTCCTAGCGGCAAACATTGTGACAGGTCCCCGGGGTCAGCGACAAACAACACAGGGTTGGAGAAGAGAGTATATGGAGGTTGGGAAGGAGAGGAAGAAGAAAGGCGGCGGGCTGCTTGTGCGGGAAGTGAGAGAAGGTTCCTCAGGCCAATCTTGACCTCTCTCGGCACCGCCGCTGCCGACCGACCGGCATGGCATGGATTCCGTGTTTGGCTGCCCAGAATCCACTTGGTGTCCTTTCCTAGATCAGATAACAACTGACGGGTCACGGGTCACCACACCTCGTTCATTGCCATTATTATTTTGCGGTACTTTTCCAATACCTCCCTAAACCTAACTTATAGTCTGGCGCCCGAAATTTCCCCACCTGTGCGGCTACGTGCTCCCCTGCATGTGGCCTCCTGGATCGTTCTACCCCCGGCGGTTGATCGGTCACCTGCCCCCCTCCTAGGCTAAGCGCGCAGACACCTTGCAACAATGGCCGACGCAGACATCGCAAACTACTATAATCTCCCTTCGGCTTTTCCTGAGGAGTGGCCTGCAGAGCTAGATGAAAGCGATAATTCGGAGGACGAGGCACTCACCCGCACTGGTTCGCGGCGATCGCGGTACTTTGCTCTCGAGCGCAGTAACAGCCACCAGCAAGGCGTCAACCTAGGGACATTCAAAGGAAGCAATGGTCGGGAAAACCTCGTCCAAATGGACGAGCCGGACCCGCTCGGGACAGGCGAGAGCGTCCTCAAGATCTTGAAGAAGGGGGGAGTGTCTGTAGAAGAAGAGAGTCGCTTGCGGAATAGATTCTTGCTCTCATCTACTTCATTTTCTCCGGCTTTGTTTCTTTCGCAGGCTCACTCCGATGCGTCGATCAAGTCACTACTTAGTGGACTGGAATTTCTTTCACGATCGATCGACCAGAAGTCAGCTTCGTTAAAAGTACTTGTCGAGGCGAACTTTGAGCGATTCGTCCGAGCCAAAGCAACAATTGATAGTGTATATACAGAGATGAGGAACCAGGGGAAGGTACAAAACTTAGCAGTCTCGCACGGTCACCGCAGGTCAGGACATTTTCGGAACCTCTCGTCTGGCAGACAGAGCATAACTCCCGCGACGATTACAGACTCGGGTCCCGGGAAGAATGCTCTGACTAAGGAAAGTGAATACGGCATGAAGGGCATCCGTGGTCCACTTTTAGAAGCCTCTGTTAAAGCGGAAGAAGTCTGGGGGCCTGCATTAGGGGGCCGTGAAAGAGAACAGGTTTTAAAATCGGTCGTCGAAACTATGGAGAAGCACCGGGATGTCTATGAAATAGGTGGGCTCCTTTCGAAGTCCATCAAGCAGAGAGACTATGATTCTGTTTTCGAACAGTATACCAGAGCCAGGACGCTCGCGAAGGAGGCCAGGAACATTGTCGATACGGCAACGAACAAAGGCCGACCGTTGACAGACGAGGAGACTCACATGATTTTGGCAATGGGGAGGATGTGGATGGATGTCGACCAGCAAATACAGGCATTCAAGCATGATCTTTGGAGGCGCTTGAGTGAGTCACCGATCGCCTCGACGACAGTGACAGCTTCAGGGCCAGTTGAGGAACATATGGAACTAATTGGCGCTCTGCTGGAATTGGGAGTCGAAGACAATCCCATCTGGGTTTGGCTTCTTGGTCGCTATGATTACTTGAAAACGAAAATTACAACTTTTTGCGAACGCGGCAAAACGGAACTAGAGATACTCAGGCGCAGACTCGCTTCTGGCGAGAAGCCGACTCCTCAAGCACTGGCATCCTATCTCCGACTTGCTCCTCGTGATGGTGCAGCAAGTATTCCAGCGGCGCTTGACACTGACCAGGTCATCGAACTCTGGGAGTGTGTACATACTTACTTAAATAGACTGGTGTCGTCACAGGGTGGCCTTCTGGGCGAAGTCTTCGATTTCTGGGAAGCGGCACAATCCTTCATCGAGGGTAGCAAACAAAAGCTTCTCCCAACCGGATTCGAAGGTGAGAGTCGTAAGCATCACCAGCTCTCCACTAATGACTCCAGTGAGCTGCAGAAGGGCGTTGTCGAGTTGATTAATCTAATTCGCGAAAGCATTCTGTCGCTGTTCGCCGACCCTCCGGTTGAGGATGTTACTATCCTCACCTCTCCAATACCACCACCAAGTCCCAATAGCCCGATGAGTGGAGGAATTACTCCCACCGAGTCCCGTTTCAAGCTAGATCCTAAGAATATGCCATTTCCCACCCCAAAGCGTGGCGAGGCTTGGGAGGACTTTGCATTTTGGCCCCCCTTTTCCAATTCCCTTAGCGGCATTCACTACCTCGGCCAATTTCTCGTCCTTATTGGCAGAGCAGCCAGTGAAATGGCTGCATTGGCCCCTGTGCGGAGTACAGATAACGCTTATGATCTCCTCAAGTCACTTGTGAGCGTCACTCGTGAACGTTCTGTTCGCGCAGCATGCTACGCCTGGGGCAAAGATGCAGAAGTTTGCAAGATGTTGGAGGACTGGACGAGGGACTCGGAGAAAAAGGACTTGACCAAGATGCCCGGTTTGTTTGTGGCTTTTGAGAACGCAATTCTTAGTGGAATGCAGAAGATCCTCTACATTTCGGAGGCTATGGTAAAATCGGGTGACGTAGATGTTGTCACACAGCCTCCTGCGAAGCTTCTACAGATGGTGCGCACGCAGTTTGTGTCCAGTATTTACAAGGCCCTCAGCGGCTTGGTCGAGAATGCGGAACATCCCACAATCCCTCAAGAGGATAGTGAATGGGTGCTGGCGGAGCCTGCAGCGCGTAGCCTCTCTGATACGTCCACAGCGCTTTTCATCGCGGATGCGGTCGATGCTCGAAATAGGGTAGGTCTCTCATGGATTTCGAATGCTTTCATGTCAACTAATCATGATTATAGAATGTTCGCATACTCCTCACTTTGTCGAATATCAAAGCATTCCAAGCCGATCTCGTCCCGCAGCTAGTGGCGAACTTTGAATCTTCATTTTCTGTCAAGTTGACGGAGGAAGCCAGTACTATTCGCGACGTACTCAGTCAAATTGATGACCGCTTGTTCCAGTCATACACTAAACCCACAATCAACAAATTGAATACCACGATTATCGATGGCATTTCTGCCCCTGATTGGGAACCGACCGCCCCTCGCCCCGAACAAGTACGGCCTTACGTTTACAACGCAATGCTGACTCTTGTGCTGGTCCATACGGAGATCTCGACCACCATTCCTTCCAGTTCATCGGCTGCATCTAATCGGTCGTCTCCAGCGGGCCAGCCACCTCTGCTGATCATCGTTCTCACGCACTTGTTGACGAAGATCTCTTCATCTCTCCTAAACGCCTTCAGCTCCCGGTCATCGTATACCTTGGCGGCCTTGATGCAAGCTACTCTCGATACCGAGTTCATTGCACAGACCATGTCGCAATTTTCGACAGATGAAGCGTCTGCTGTGCAGAGCCAGATCTACGTAGAACTCGACCGCCGGACCACACACGAGGCCCGGGCTCGTCTTCAGTCAGAGCTTGGTGAAATGCGGGGAACGCTGAAACGATTGAGGGAGAGAACTAAAGGAGAATTTGCCTGCTTTAGGAAGCAAAGAACTCGGACGGAGCCTAAAACCCCGGCATAGTAGCTAATGGTAGATAATTGAATTTTGACAATCAACACACCAGAGGCGCATCTAAAGAACGTACATAAGATCCAGTGGGTATCATTTTTAAAAACTTTTGAACCGTCATCATGTCCCATTTGAATAGTTCCTGTCTTTTACGTCTGGCCGACCATCCGTTGCACCCGACTCAGCAACACGTTACTCTCGCGACCTAATCTCCTCTTCCCATGCTGGTCCGGTCGTCTAGCCTTAGCCATCGCCTCGCGATCCTTTTGCCTGAAATCACGCTCCTCCTGTCGCTTTTGCGCCTCCTGTCTGCGCTTCTCCGCAATCTCCATCTCTTTTGCAAAAGCGGACCGCTTGGGCTTCCGTTTCCGGCGACCTTCGCCATCTTGATTTCTAGCTCGCTCGGGGCGGGGGTTACTCTCAGGCGCCGGCTGGTCTAACATCGCCTGTCGGTCCGGGTGCAGTTCCAGCGAGGCAGGTTCTGCCTCTGGCACATTATCATCCTTCGCAGCATTTTCCTCCGCTAATTCGTAGACCGACTTGCGGGGGGCGGCAGCGAACTCTTCGGCTCTTACTTTGGCGTAGGCCTTTTTAACTTTGGCCTTCTGAATCAGGTCGGCTTTGATTTTCTGGGCTATAGTGGGTCGTGGTTAGTAAAGAGGACCTTGCAGGGCCGTTTTAAAACTTTACTTCATAGATGAAGGAGGAGAGAGAGAAAGAGGAAAAGGAAAAGGAAAAGGAAAAGGAAACCAAAAAACTTACTTTTCCGGCGATAGGTACCATCAGGCAGGTTTGCAGGTCCCACAGAAAACCCCTTCTTCTTCTTTACTGGTGGTTCAGTTGTGCGTTGTTCTTCGGACTTTGCATCGATATCTCGGGAGCGCTTGCCCGCCATGCTGAACAAAACTTGGTTTTTTTGCCTTAGTCGGTATGGATTCGGGCTAGATAGTTTGGCTGTACAGAATGATTCACTTGGTATGAATCTTGTGTTGGGCAACAATTGACGTGGCAAGTGGTTCAGTTGTACAGAACGAGGGAAAAGAAACGGAAAGTTGTTGGCGGACAGTAGGGAAAATCTTTGGGAAGTTGTAAGCTTTTTGTTTCCCCCCGTGCAGAATGTTCCGATTTTCAATAGTTTCACGCAGAACGAGGGTGGGCGCATATGAGGTGTCACGGAGGGGGAAGATGAAAGTTGAAGAACCGTGGACGATGCTGTAATGACAATGCGAACAAAAAAAAAAAAGTAAGAGATCTTGGTACAGAGGAAATGCGATAAGGGAAGAAGAGAGATAATGGTACCAAACGGTAACGTTACCCGTGGATTGGGAAATGATCCCATTACAATCCCGTTCCCCTCCGCCTCTAAAAAAAAATGGCGAACGGATTTGTTCGCGGTGGACCAAAAAACCCACCCCCCATGTCGTTTCAGGCGCCTCATGACTCAATTATACTCTCGTCATTCAAATAGCTCACCTTAATTTAATCCCTCTCAACTAACAAACTCTAGCTCGCCCACGCAGCATCACCTTACTTCAGTTCCGTCCAGAGACCCCGATCCCGTCATACCTCAAGTCTCTCCTGACAAAGACCGCCACTTCAACTCCAAACATCCTCCTCGTTTACACCTTCGTTACCCCCCTCATGCGCCCTTGTACTTTCCCGTCGGCCTAATTATCTTTCATTGGGATGTATAGCTTTTTATTTCTCCAGTCAATACTAACTAACCCCCGGTGATCATGCCCATATTCCAGGATCCAGATCGTCAGCGGTTCTATGACCTATGGTCGGATGACCACCCTCCGATAAGAGAGGATGAGCGCCAAATTGGGGGCTCCTCTTGGGCCCATCATCATAGGGAGCTGGAACCCTCAGGAAGGCGTACTAATTTCCCTGATGAGACATCTATATCGGATTGCAGTCTGTCAAATCTGCACACTTGCGACCGAGAGGGATTGATTCATTACATCAAGAACGCCGATACCTCGGCTTGGGCGCATAGGCTGGTAGGTGCACTCTCTCCACTAGAAAGGCAGAGCTCCCCAGGAAAAATGATCAGAAGACTGTATCTTTACGGTATGCACATTTACTTACATGGGTTATGATGTAGTATGGAGATTCAAATGCTGGCCATTCCATCTCCCGCACGCCGGATAGAGCATCCGACATGAAAGTCGGATTTATTGAGCAGGGCGTTCCTAGTGATGGCTCTGGTACAAATGATCAGGAATTAAGCTCGCCAGCTGATATCCAGCGCCCTCGGTCAGCACTGCATTCTGGCGACTTTCGAGAAGGGGCCCGTCAAGATTCGCAATCATTGCCGCAATCACCGCGACATGGACTTGATACCGACTCACGATTTCCCCTTCTGGGCTCTTCGCCAACTGCACCTTGGTTCACGACCCCCATTTTCGCATCGCCCACGAGAACGCAACCTACCACAACGAATGTGTCTGATGAAAACATGAGGCCACCATCCCGCTCGCGGGCACCGTCAGTGGGCTCCTTCTCTTCTAGTTACGTCCTAAAGGCGCCGACAAGCCCTCTTGTATACCAGGCGAACAATACCGATCTAGATTTTTCCTCCAGAATCGATTCAACTGAGCAGCTTGGTCCCTTGGAGAAGGCCAACCGTCGTCGTACGCTACCGCCAGAGACTTTCCGGCACCTTCAATCGTCGCCCACAACCCACCGAGGAGCATTCAACTTCCAGTCCGGCCATTCCCCTGGGAAATGGAATGATCTGCTTCCGTTCCACCATTATAATCCTCGCCGGTCTTTAAACTCAGCGTATACCCTTCAACTAGCGACTTCGGTGCAAGGCCCATCCTCCAGGACCAGGAGGCCCTCGCTTGCTGCGGAAAAATCTTCCAGACTGCATGCTCCATTGGTTGGATCGTATGAGGAATCCATTTTACGTGGAAGAATGTCGATGAATCCATCAAAACCACTCGATTTCACAGCGCAAATAGGTGTTTTAGGGAAAGGCAAATGTAAAGCGAATCTCAAGTGCCCGCCCCACGTCACCATTCCATTTCCAGCAGTTTTCTACAGCTATCCCACTTCGGGCAGCGGTCGCTCGATTTCGGACGATAACCCTAGTCCGTATGTTGGCTTGATAGACTTGGAGAACTCTCTTCCAAAGGACACAACAGCTACAAGTCGACGCCGCAGGCATCAGCAAAGCCCCGCAGGCGTCTGCAGTGAAATGACAGACAATCCACCACCGCCTAGGGCCAATGACCAAGATGCTCTCCGCAGGAGAGAGAAGAGACACAGGAGGGCCGAATCACCCAGATGTCCACCAGGGGGCTGCTATCGAATCCCTCAACAGGGCCAGCTCCAGGTCATAATAAAAAACCCGAACAAGACAGCTGTAAAATTATTCTTGATTCCATACGATCTCAGCGACATGGAACCTGGAACCAAGACATTTATTCGGCAGAGAAGCTATTCAGCGGGCCCTGTCATCGATATGCCGTTGACTGCGCGGAAGAACTACGGGACCGATCGTCCAGAGGCGTCCTTGAACTCATCGGAGGATCCGAAGGACAAGCCCATCCTGAGGTATCTGGTACATTTGAACATATGCTGTCCGTCTAAGGGCCGTTTCTATCTACACTCAAGCGTTCGTGTTGTTTTTGCTAATCGAGTTCCGGACGGCAAAGAAAGGCTCCGGAATGAGATCCAGCATCCAGAGCCGCGGTATGCGCCTTATAAGCCTGTTCGTGATGCCAATCATACGCAGTTGAATACGACGCTAGTAACGGATAGGGGATGCCGAAGATCAGCTACTGATCAAGAATCCGTTCCAGCTTCATTGCTTGATCTCGCTTCCCCGTGTGGACAAGAGGGCCATCCTGCAACACCAATGCCAGCCATTGATGCGCAGACCGTCTCTAGTAACTTGAAGGATGCCCGCTCGGAGCAGCGAGCTCCTCATCCTTTCCGACCCATTCCATCCCTAAGGGAAGAAGTACTTCCCCTGCATGATTACGATGCAGCCGAGCCCTATCAAACCGGTAGCGGAACGTATAGTAAACTCGCCAAAGGAGACCTTGGATACGGTGGCTATCCATTCAGCCCCATGGGCAGCTCTGAAGCCGGCGAAAGCCTACTCGCCAAACGACTGAGAGGACTAGATGTACAGAAGCATAATTCATCGGGCATCAATTAAAGCCACCCAAGATCACCAAACCACCCGTCGACACAATTCACCTAGGCCGCTCCACATCTCTACCAGTATAAATCGTCTTATTTAGTCTTTCTTTTTTTTTGTTTCTTTTTCTCATTGACTTGTTACCACTATGCAGGATACACGCTGCCTAACTGACATTCAAGGTGCAGGCTCATCTTCTGGACATGAACACAATCGCCTCCCGCTTTCCACAATCCTACACGGGCCAGTCAAGGGCGCAACACATACGTACTTTTAATACCCAAGCTCTCATATTTGCAATTCACGGCGTCAACAATGCTTCGGAGTCTAGGAAGTCTCCTCTCTTTTTACTGATTCATTTATTTTGTCAAGGCGTACAGAGCTCAGTTCAAGTGGCGGTCATCTGTTTTTCGAGTATTGAGTGTTTTCTAACGTGTTTTGCTCTGGTTGTGTGGGAGGTTGGCTACTTAGGTTAAATATACGGTTAAACAGAATAACACATACGCATATACGTTGACAGAAAGTTCTTTGAGATATATACTTATGTATCTATTCGTACCTGATTGCTCCAGTGGCTAACTCATAGGCATCTACTACATATTTTCCAGGACCAATCTCAGAAATATGACGCAAGAAACGAGCCAGCAGGATGATCAGCCATCTCCTATGTAGGCAATTACCTCGAAGTACGCAGCGCAAGGTCCCAAGCAAGACGATTCATTTCCATGAGGCCATATATATATGGGTTTTTTGCCCCCCTTTAAAACATATTTCCACTTAAAACATGGACATCGAGCCACTCCTCGATATCTCCATCACTCGAAATCGAAGAGATCGCCCTCGGGCGGACGCTCGCTGGGGTATAGATGTTATGCATTGTATCTAGTTGAAGATATGCTAGCCCTAATGAAAGTGAACCGCGGTTCAAGGGCAATTATCAAGCTGCCATTAGGTGAGGAATTGGGTTAAGCTCAGGTGAGCCCAATGTCAAAGCAGAAGGTTGGCAAATTCCAGTACAGTTGTTGGTGGCTAGGCCTAGTGCCTCAGGCTGCCTAAATATATACTAAACTTGTAATGGTACGTGCATCTCAACCAACATTGACTTGACAAGCTGACGTCACCCCTTCCCAACACACCACTTGACCACACACACAGAGACGCAAGATATACAGAAAGAGACTGAAGTTATTTATCTAATTTGAGTCTAAATCCAGAGGGTAAGGTGCTTATATTGGTCGTGTATGTCAAAAATCGGCCTGGCCAACTATTACTATCCTAGCCACTGCATTAGATGTCGTCCAAAGTTTGCAGCTGACCAAACACATAATTTCGAGATATAGCGAAACGCATTAATAGACTTATTAATGTTTAGCCTGCGTGCTCGACGATCTCGTTCACCAGGACACCGTCTTTGACGTAGGATTTGATTTGTTCGGGAACCGGGCACTCCTTGGTATCTTCGTCTGTTCCCTCCTTTGGAGGAAGCATGATATTGATCGCTGTGCATTTGCTGGAGAAAACCTCGGTGTTCAAGCTCTGTGAGCCGAGATAGACCGTGGCACCGTCCACCTGGTCCAGCAAGAGCGTGGGCACCACACCGTCGATCTGGAGAGCGAATTTGGTACACTTAATGACATCAAGGCTGCTCACGAGGGAGTCAACAATGATGGAGAGTTCCTTGCAGTTGTCGATGGCGATGGCATTGGCTTTGCTAGACACCTTCACAATGGTCTTGTTGCAACGGGAGATAAGGATGGACTGGTTCTGCAGGGCAGGGATCTCAACGATTTCACCCGCGTTATCGAAGTTCTCGATGTACCACTTGTTACTCTCGAGCTCCTTACGAGGAGGTTTACGGACACGCATGCTCTCTGGCTTAGGCTTCTTGCTCGGGGCTGGCGACTTGGAGCGAGAGATGCTGCCTTGCGAGTCAGGGCGCTCTGGAACGGTTGAGCTTGTGCGAAGGCTAGGGTTCTTGTGCGTCATTTCGGACTTGTCGACTTTCCGGAGACCAGAGGTGATAGCCTCACCCTGGTTCAACTGAGCAAAAACGGCGGACATATCCCCTCCCGGTGCCGCACTGGGTGGCGGAGGAACGCCAGGT